AGGACCACAATTTTTTGCGCCTGAAAGTAATGGTTCAACTTCTTTGAAGCCATTACTAAGGCTAGCATTAATTTCTCCAGTGGTAGATACCTTGTTTCTGCGTTGGCCAAGGTTTTGCTTACATAGTAAACAGCCTTTTGCTCCCTTTTTTCTTCTCGGATTAGTACTGCACTGACTGCGTGTTCTGAAACTGCCAAGTACAAAAACAGTTCTTCCCCTAGTTCTGGATTGGAAAGAACCGGAGTTGCGGTCAAGTACTTCTTCAGGTTGGTTAAAGCGGTTTCGCATTCTTCTGTCCACAGAAAGTCTGTGGCTTTTTTCACCAGGTTGAAGAAGGGTCTGCACTTATCTGAGCTTCTGCTGATGAATCTGTTTAGGGCTGCGGCCCTTCCAGTAAGCATCTGAACCTGTTTTGCCGACGTCGGGCTCTTCAGCTCTAGGATGGCCTTGATTTGGTCTGGGCTGGCCTCAATGCCCTTTCTTGTTACCAGATACCCTAAAAACTTACCTGATCCAACTCCAAACGCGCACTTTGATGCGTTGAGTCGGAGCCGGTATGCTTTGAGTATATCAAAGACCTCTTTTAGGTCGGCAAGATGACCCTTAGATTCCTTGGTCTTCACGACCATGTATGTTTTGAGTATCTCAAAGACCTCCTTTAGGTCGGTAAGATGACCCCTTGGATCCTTGGTCTTCACGACCATGTCGTCAATGTAGACTTTCACTGTTTGGCCAATCAGATTTTTGAACATCTTGGTTACCAGCTTTTGGTAAGTTGCTCCTGCGTTTTTCAACCCAAAAGGCATTACCTTGTAACAGTACAGGCCTTTAGGGGTGATGAACGCGGTCTTCTCCTCGTCTGGAGGGTACATGGCAATCTGGTGGTACCCCCTGTATGCATCCAAAAAACTCATCCTTTCATGCCCTGAAGTAGCATCTACTTGCTGGTCAATCTTGGGTAGAGGAAAGCTGTCTTTGGGGCAGGCTTTGTTGAGGCTGGTAAAGTCTACACAGACCCTCCATTTGCCGTTCTTCTTCTTCACCACTACTGTGTTGGACAGCCATGTCGGGTAGTGAACTTCTCGAATGGCCCTGGCCTCCAGAATTCTGTCTACTTCTTCTTCTACCGTTTCGACGTGCATCAACGTCGGTCTTCTGGCTCGTTGAGTCACAGGTTTTGCCGACCTGTCGACATTCAGTCTATGGCAAGTGGCCTCGGAGTCAATGTCAGGCATCTCGTAAGGTGTCCAGGCGAACACCTCTATATTGGATTTTAAAAAAGCCTCCAACTCTTTTTCTTCTTTTTCGGCTAAGCCCGAGCCGAGAAGAAAGAAGCGTTCTTCATCCCCATCCTGGACGAGGATTTTCTTTAGCGCCTCTTCGCTCTTCTCGGCTGGTTCTTTGCCGACGTCTTCTAGGACTTCCACGTCCTCATCTTCAATTTCTGCCTCTTTTGGCTTTCGAATGCTGCAAGTAGACTTCATTGCTGCCATGGAGCAACTTTTTGCCTGCAGTTGATCTCCTCTGACTTCTTCAATCCCATGATCTGTTGGGAACCGCAGTAGTTGATGCAATGTTGAGGGAACTGCCCCCATTGCATGCAACCATGGTCTTCCCAAGATGATGTTGTATGGTGAAGGTGTGTCAATCATCATGAATTCTGTCCCGATCTTCTTAGTGCCAGCTTGTACTTCCAAGCTTGTTGCCCCCAGTGGCCACGTCGGCGTTCCATTAAAGCCGATCATCGGGCCATTCGATTGCTCCATGTCGTCTGGGTGAAGGCCTAGCTCCTTGTAACATCTAACGTACATGATGTCACAAGAGCTGCCTTGATCTATTAGGATGCGTTTCACTTGGCACTCCCCAACCTGGAGGGATACTACCAAGGCATCGTTATGCGGATGCTGGACCATTTCTAAGTCAGCTTCAGTGAAGGCTATCATCGGTCCTCGGCACTTTTCAGGCCGAGGTCTTTTATGTCCGACTTGGTTCACGTGCTGCAGGTGTTTTACTTTTTGGGTTTCTTCCCGAATGTCGCTTTCGTTTACCTTTGAGGGAATTACATTAACCACCCGTGGTCTTTCTGCCTGTGGTTGCTGTGCTGGGGGAGGCGGAACTGCTGGTGCTTGAGGCAATCTTGCCTGTTCTTCTCTTGTCCTGGCCTCATCAACAAGGTCCCTCAGATGGCTTTGCCTTACCAAGTCTTCTAAGTGTGCTTTTAGGGCATCCTGCAGCCCTAAGTTGGGTGCCCTTCTTCATTGTGGTAAGCACAACGCCTACCACGTTCTTCTCATAAATTCCCCTGGTGCTCTTGCTGGAGCTCTGAAATAGGGTTGGTTTCGTATTTGATCAAGACTTTGGTGTCGGGACTGCGAATATAGTTGTTACTCTGCCTGTTTACCCCTCAATTCCGTTTCTTGTTTGGTTGTCCATTGTGCCTCGGCTTCGCTTCGGCGAGCCGTTTCCTTTCTCCTGCTTTGTTTCTTTATTCCCGTGTATCCCTCCTCGGCTCTGCATACTTCTCTATCTCGCCATGAGTTCTTCCATGCTTTTGGCAATGTTTTTGCCAAGATTTCGTAGTGGGCAGTCATCTTCAGGCCGTCTTGAAGGACACGACCGCCACCTCTTGGTTGCAATCAGTGTATTCGATTGAACACCTCATAGTACCTTTTCGCATAGGCCCTAAGGCCTTCGTCTTTGCTGATCTTCAGAGCCATCAATGCGTCCACCCTCAATGGCTGCAGTTTGTTCGTTACAAACCTGGCCACAACATTTCGCCAGGCCTTCCCAAGTCTTTACGCTTCCCTTTGGTAGTTTATGAACCAATCTGATGCAATTTCCCCAAAGGACGAGGGGAAACACTTTGCAGAGCAACGGCTCGTTCCCACTATATAATGCCATCGAATTCAGGTATAGCCCGACGTGGAAGTTGGGATCTGTCTTACCATCATATATTTGGAACCTCGGCATACTGAATCGTTTTGGTGCTTGAAATTTGTTCAGTTCCATGGAGAATGGTGTCCTCGGCTTAACCGGGGAAGTTACCTCAGCATCAGCATTCTGTTGCCTCCTCTTGAGGTAATCTCTCAAGTCTTCTTTACTTCTTCCAGGAGCTCGGCTATCTTTTGATTTCAATCTCTTCGGCACACTACTTTCGGCCTCGTGGTGGGCTCGTTTTGATCTCTCTCCATGTGTTGTGTCAAAGCAAAGCGCCTGCCCTTGAACATGGCGATGTTCTTTGGGCTCTGGATCCTTCGTGTGATACGTTCTTCGGGACTCCTCTCGCCTCGGCTCCTCTCGTCCGCCTTCCCTAGAAGGTCGGTGAGAGTGCCTTCCGCTCCTGGTGTGCTGAGGGACTTTGGGAATTGTTCTTCTTCCTCCCTTCTGGGTGTTAGTTGCTGGCATTGGCGTATCCTGCAGCGGGTATGGTGGCTGCATGACATTGTTTTGCGTCATGAAGTTGACCACTGACTGTAGGTCTGCCAACTTGTTTGCCAAGTCTTTTACTTCCTCATCTCTCCGTAGGCACCTATCCCTCCATATCTGAAGGTTATCTTCATTATAATACTTGCTTTGGTCTGTCCTCTTCGAAGCGTCGCCCTCCTGGCCGACGTCTTTCTCTCCGTGGCCCTAGTCATGATTTTCTGTACTGTGGTTGTCTCCTTCAACGTCAAGGTTAATTGGTCTGCCACTCCCAGCAGGAGTGTCGCCCCCAATGTTTTCCCTCTGTCCGTTACTGGCCATCTATTCTTCTAAGCTTCCCACAGACGGCGCCAAATTGTGTGGGTGATTTTCCGACCACACTGCCCGCTTAGTAACCAGCTGGAGAGCACCGGCAGAATAGATGGCTTTAGCAAACCTGTAACAGAAAGAAAAAGGCTCCGGCGGTGGCTCTTCCACTCGGGGGCACTCCGACGATCAAGTCAGTATATCTCTCAAAGATAATCAAGTGCTAAACTTATTACTCAAAACATAATTTGCGTACCTTAGACCCACGGGGGTGCCTTTCTTTTATAGTTTACTTAATCCAAGTCCCACTAGAAACCTGACTTCTATGGACTCCAATTCAATACTGACTTTGGACTCTTCAAGAAAAAAAGGTAAACTCCCTAAGAGTTTTATCCTTATCTTGGCTAAGTCTTCTCTTTACTCTAGGACTCTTGTCCCTTATCCGCTTATCTCAGATTCCGATATCTTCGGAGATCACCTCGGCCTCGCCAAAGATAACCTCGGCATAACTACTACGACACGTGGCACCTCGGCTGACACGTCGGCGTCACTATGCCTCGTGTTGGTACTCAAAATATATCCCCAGAGTAACTAAAATGTATATTGTAGTTAATAGTTATTATCTATCAAGCATGTGTACGGGTACGGGTACGGCTACGGCTACGGCTACAGGTAAGATATGGTAAATCTAAAAAAAGTAAGGTACAAGTACAACTCAGTATAGGCATAAAAAATGTTTATTTTTAATTTGACGTAATACAAAAATTAATGTTAGTATATGAAAAGACTTGTAAACCAAAGCTTAATTTTAAAACATGCTAAGCATAAAAAAAAAGTTCGATGAAACTAACTTTACCTTTGTATAGAAGAAAATACTATTCTGTCTAAGATAAGATACAAGTATATGCTAGTTACGACTAGGGTATGACAAAAATTAAGAAGAAAAAATTTAGGTATTTATTTCGTGTACCCGTTATGTATGTAGAAACACTATGCAAAGTACCAGTACCTGGTAAATATTCGGTGCAGGTATGGTATGTTTGTTGAAGTACCCATGCTTCATATTTTCTTATGAATGAAGATTTATACATTTTTGTGTATGTTGGTGTAGCAAATCCAGTTTGAATTTGCAATTGTGCAGACTTTGTTTTATTTTATCTCTGTAGTTAACTGTTATTTTGATAAAAGAAAAAAAAATCCAATTTCTGATTCTAAATTTTGCTGGGAGGATTTTTCTTGTGATTTATGTAATAAGGGCTATGATTGTGTAGATACCAGGTGGAGTTACCGCTGCAAAGGGATTCAAAGCTGCAGGAATGTATGGTGGGTTGCGTGCCAAAGGAGAGAAGCCAGATCTAGCACTTGTTACATGTGATGTAGATTCCATTGCTGCAGGTTAGATTCCTATTTGGTAAAGATACTCCTAGTTTAGGTCTTGAATTGTTTTAATTTTGAAGCTTTTTTACTCCTGTGGTACGCGGGAGCCTTGTGCACTGCATATGACCTTTACCATTTTGTCAGTATATCTTCCACTTATTTCAGTTTCCATGAGTCATGTACCTTTTGAAAAAATGACATCACGTCGAAGAGTTTGTTTAAGGAATGAGTTTGCTAGGAATAACAATTGGTTTCCCCCTCTTTTGACCTTTTATTGTCATTGTTTTTAGGAGCCTTTACAACAAATGTGGTTGCAGCTGCACCAGTAATATACTGCAAAAAAGCACTGGACGCTTCACCTACGGTAGGCCAGAGCAACAAACTGACATATTTAATCCAAATATTTTAAAGAGATGCTGAAGTTACAGAAATATGCAGTCAACTTGTTGTACAAGTTTTCCATATTTGACTCAACTCCAATCAACAGTCTTGGGCCCAATTGTTAGTGGTCAGCCACACTACAAGCGTATCATATACTTTATGGAATATGTTACTACTTACTATGGTTATATTGCTTTCTTCTATCAGCAACCTAAAGTTGTTAATTCGTGTAAATGTGCGAGGTTGGATAGTTAGGGAAATCTAATCGGATTAATTGTTTACATGGGAGGTTTTATAGTTCTAACTCCTCAGATGGTATCAAATATTGTAGATGTTCAATTGCATTGCATTAGAAAAAAAATGAGCTGATATGATGTATGTTTTTATCCACTTTTCTATCTATTATCACTAATGAAAGTATATGTTGAGAAAGTTCACAAACATCATATTTTTGTGTCCAGCAGGAACAATAAGGAATAATAAACTTGGCAGGCTGAACGCAATTTGTTTATTTTTTCATTTTATCAAACCACTCTCTTTTTAAATTTATTTCTCTATGTTGTCTACCCCAAGTAGTTCGGATTAAGCTTTGTTGAGTTAATTTTCTTTTTCTTTTTATTTTCTGTTTTTATTTGCAGCTACATAAGATTTTAACTGTATCACAGATTAGCTCATGTCTAACCATCTGTGTCTTTTATGAATCTGTGGAAGTTTTGGTTCTCATGGCTAGGATTCGCTTTTATGTCTTCATCAAATTTCAAATGCTTTTACATGGTTCCAAATTCTTGTCTTCTAATGACTTAACTCCTCATGTTTTGTCAGGCACGTGCAGTGTTAATAAACGCTGGTCAAGCGAATGCAGCAACGGTAAGCTGTGTCAGATAATCAGAATAGCTAGGTGTTTTGCACATAAGTTATCTTCCAGTCAAGATGTGCTTGTGTGAGAGTTCATGTTTTCCTCTCTTCTTTTTTTTTTTTGAATTTTTAGTTTGAATACATCTTGATAATGAGGAATGTATAATGCTTTTTGTTGTTTACCTTTAAAATAACAGCAGAAAGAAAAATTAGGGGTGTGTTTGGTTTGTGTTTTGAGAAAAATTTTCAAAAATTTTTTTGGAGAGAGAGTTTAGAAATTTTTTTGGTTTGTTTGGTTGTATATCTTGAAAATAGTTTTGAAGTTTGGGATGATTTGATATTTTGTTATAGTTGAGTAGATGTGTGTGAGAGAAAAAGTGATTGAGAAGGAGAGAGGAGAGAGAAAAAGTGATTGATTGATGTGTAATAAAGTAATTTTGAATTTTTTTTGAAAAAATTTGTAACCAAACATGGTTTTGGAAATTTTCTTCCAAAAACATGTTTCAAAACACAAACCAAACACACGATTTTTTTTACCTTTAAAATAACAGCAGAAAGAAAATTAGATTTTTTTTCCCCTTCTAGTCATTTGTGCTATTACTCTGATAGAGACCTGTGTTATGTTGCTCAGAGATCTTAAAATGGTGTCCAGGGCGATGCTGGTTACCAGGATGTGATAGAATGTTCAAGTGCCCTTGCAAAGGTGAACAGTTTTCAGAATGTTGAGTGCCTGATTCATAGGTGGTTTCTGTATAGCCATGTGTTCTTTAATGCCATTATTCCATCATATCATATCAGATACTCCAACTGAAGGCAGAGGAAGTGTTGATTGAATCCACTGGTGTAATTGGTCAAAGAATAAAGAAGGTAAACATGGAGACATTCACATTTATTGTGATTATCGATTTAAAATCATTTCAATATGCATCTTACTTTCTTGGAAGTTAAACAAGTAAGCTGGAGAATTTCACACCATCTTTATATGACGGGACCCATATAATATCATATTCAGGAGGCTCTTCTCAGCTCACTTCCAAAACTAGTTAATTTGCTGTCATCAACTATTGAGGGGTTAGTCCTTTTCTTTTCATTTTTTAACTCTTGGTTCAGCAATTTGACATGGTTCCATGTTTATGAAAAACCTTGGTTTTATTTCTTTTACAATTAGATCTTGCGATGACAATTTCATTTTTTCTTTTCAATTTTCTTTTGTTGAAGTCATGCAACTTTTATTTTCGTCTTTGGATTTTGATGATCTTCTTCTAAGTTTTTATATTTAATCACAATAGTGTGTTTGCAGGGCAGATTCTGCAGCAGTGGCGATTACAACCACTGACCTCGTAAGCAAGAGTGTGGCAATTGAGTCTGAGGTATGCAATGACAGTTGAAATCATGTGAGTGCCATACTTTTATATATCTGTCAATGCAATGATCTCTGCTGGTAAATATACGAACTGATACTGGGTGCAATCTCATATGGGGCCAATATACACTGTACTTGTTTGATTTCCTTGTCCGTGAGTATTGATATGGATTGAACATCAATCCTATGCAGAGACAATTATCAATGGTATTTGTTTGATTTATTGTTGTTTTTTTAATACATTATGCGTAGTCTAGTAATTGGTGGAAGGCTTTGTCGGATACTTGATTGGATAAATGATTCAGCATAGATAGATTTGTGCACATCCATTCTCTCTAGTTAACAACATTTAGCTATTAACCAACTTAGCATTTTTTTGGTTAATATCTTGTATATATGGTCACAAAAGTATTAAATCCACTGACTTTAGAGTCATGAAAGTTAAAACTCCTGAGATCTATTTATTATAAAAAATAAAAAATAAAAAAATGAAGAAAAAGAAGAAGAAGAAATTCTTGAGAGCTGAAGATACAAATAATAAAATACCCTACTCCTATACACTATACAATCCAGCAATGGTGGATTCATATGGGGGAATTTTGGTTTTTGGTATTGAAGTTAGATGATGCAGAAAGGAGAGGGAGAAAGGGGAGAGAAATAACACAAGAGCCACAACTCTGATCACACAAAGCCACAACATTAAACACTCTCAATCTTATTGGTTAATTCTCCATAATATTATGCCAAACTTCCTTATTTATAAGTTAATAACCCTAATAGAAAAGGTAACTAAGATACCTAACAAAATAGGAAACCAAATATTAGCAAGACTATTTAACTGTAATTAAAAAGAAAATAAAAATAAATACTAAAGACGTAGAACTATAGAAATGTAAATAAAACGTCCATGCCAAAGTTGTGTGTATGCATGAACAATAAACTCTATGTTCTGCATTTGTAGGCTTGCATTTGCTTTTAGCAGCAACAAGTCTCTAGCCCCTTGTTGTCTATGTAATTAACTGTTGTTACTGATGCATTGTCTAGGTTGGAGGGACTCGGATAAGAATTGGTGGAATGGCAAAAGGTTCTGGGATGATCCACCCAAATATGGCTACAATGCTTGGTGTATGTTTCTTTCATTATCTGCTCTTCTTGGGTTAAGAAGTGTGTTTTCTTACTACATTTTCAATTCATGTATACCTTAACAGGTTATAACAACTGATGCCCTGGTTACAAACAATGTTTGGAAAAAGATGGTGCAGGTTGCTGTTAACCGAAGTTTTAATCAAATTACAGTAAGTAGCATTGGTTTCAATGGTTTATCTGTTTCAGATCCTGGACATAACTGCTAAAGTGCCTAGTGGCCACACTAGATTTATGTGGCACCTAAGAAACATGGACACTACAATGGAGGAAGCATGTCGTGTTTGACACCCATGTCGGACACATGCTTCAAACACTCATAAATCCGTGTCTGACACTTTGTGAACGTGTTTTAATTAAAAAATCAACTTCATAATATCGGACACTTTATTGACACTTTGCCGACACTTCTTGAACCCTCTAAACACATCGTGTGTGATGAATACCTTCATAATAACAATGTTATGCATTCTTCAAAACACAACTTACACACTCTCATTATGTGTAGAAACATTTTTAAGATGAATGCATCATGTGTATTACAATGTTCTGAAACATATTAACTTTTTAATGCAATTAGTATTATGTACATATTTTTCATTATCTTTGAATAAATTATTCATATATATGACATAATAAATCTATAAAACATTAAAATTTTAACATGTTCCCAGTGTGTCGTGTCCTGCATTATTTGAAATTTGACGTGTTGGCGTGTTGGTGTCTTGTCCGTGTCATGCCCGTGTTTGTGCTACTTAGTGTGGCACAAATACTTGTTTTTCTTTGTATGGTTCATTTGCACATCTTTTGATTTCTTCATGTTTAGGTGCAAAACTGTTACACAACATATTCTTTTTATTAGTTGAAAATTCAGAGTGGAGCAATATTGGTGATGGGTCCATGTAGTTCTATAATGTAGAGGTAAATGATTGTTTTAGGTACATCATAGCAGATCTTTGTAGTTTACCCTCTATAATTCAAATTCCTAGTAGTCCATAGTCTATTGGATGACCTAACTTTTAAAAGGTGTTATTGAGGCGCCTCAAGGTGAGTGTTAATATACATGTATTATTGATTGATTGTTGATTAATTTCTGTATATTACAATTCCTATATATAGAGGAGAAGATGGTAGTAGGTGTAGGTGGTAGTGGAGGTGGTAGGTGGAGTGGGTGGTAGTGGAGGTGGTAGGTGGGTGGTAGTTTACATTTTACAATTTACATTTTACATTAACAGAATCCAATGATATGTTCCACCAAATCCGGTAGATCTTTGTGAGAAAATCAAATTTTTTTTTTTCATAGACCGGTGTGAGAAAAATCATTGATTGATGAATATTTGCTAATCAAACCGTTAGTCAAGTTTGGCCGTGTGGGATACAAACGAGATATGTGACGCGATCCCCTGATGCTGATGGTCCGCTAATGACTACACTAATTAGGCCTAGTTTAATTTGTGGATAAGCAATGAGAATTGAATTAAGGATTATTTTGAAAAGTTAGTTAAAAATTAATTTTTTAAACTTTTTTTTAATTATTTTTGAAAAAATGTATAAAAAATTAAGAAATAATGTGACCCAAAATACATTAAAAATTATCTTTGGGGAAATTACCCACAGGTCCCATGTGGAACATGTGGACACCATTTAATCCCCTAACTTTTTGGGTACACCCAAAAGCCCTTTCTTCCATCTCTCTGGTTTTTTCTTCCCTTTTTACGTTTTCTTCTTTCTCTTTTTTTCTACATTTTTCACTCATCGTCTTCGTCATAGACGATGGTGCAAGTGTTCATGTCTTTCTCCATTGATCGGGGTTCACTGATAACCGCCAACCATCGAAATCAACTCGTGATTTCACTCTCACCGACGGCGAAGATATATATTTCCGACGAAGAAGATGAGTGGATCTACTTAGATCTGATGTAGATCTACTCAGATCTACATCAGATCTGAGTAGATCTACATCAGATTTGGCTAAATCTAAACAAAAAATAGTTGTCGGAGTATAATCCTCTCTCTACATCCGCCTTTCTCCTTCAATCTCTTTTTTTTTTCTCTGCTATACACTTCTGTTTTTCTGTTCTAATGGAGAAAATTTTCGAATTCTGAACAAGTAGTTTTCGAGTTTTAGTTATAGGCGGTGAAAACTGTAAAATTTTGCAGTTTCAAAATTTTTTTTGGTGCTGGAATGAATCATGGTTTAAAACTGTAAAATTTTGCAGTTTTATAACATTCTTTAGAACTGTAAAATTTTACAGTTTCATAACATGTTTTAAACATTTCTAAGCTCAAGGCTTGTTTTCCTATATATATGGGGGTTCCTCCCACATTTTTGAGGGTTAGCAATTTTGGAACAAAATTCTTTCTCTCTCTCTCTATATATTTCTCTCTCTCTAGCAATTTTGTGCATAATTGCTTGGATACACTCCACTTTTGTCTATCAATCCTTAACAAAAAGTTGCTAGTCTTTGGGCTGAGGGAGCTTGGGGCTTGTTTTGAGCTCTAGGAGGAGGTTTTGGCTTGGATTGTTGGCCAAATAATGTCATGGCTTCAAGAGGTATAACACTTGCTTTGTTAGCTTCTTTTAGATACTTGCTTTGTCATCTTCTTCTATTGTTTTTGGGCTATTTTGGGGCTGGTTTTGAACTGTAAAAAACTCTATTTTTGTGGCCTAAAAGTGTTGGTTTGAGACCATTTTCAGTTAAGAGGTGGTTCACCCTTCTTGCTTCTTTGTTTGTAAAGTTTTTGTACCTTTGTTCACCACTTTCAAACCAACTTTTTTTTGGGCCTTTTAACTGCTGAATTTAAGAGGTTTTTCAGTGGCAAAAAACTCATTTTGAAGTCCAAAATTTGAAGGGGTTAGCCTCCCCCTCATTGTGTCTTGTTTGTATGCCTAGTTAGCCCCATGTATTAGCTTAATGTTTTAGCTTTTTGTGGCTCAAGTCCAACATGTTTTGAACTCTGTTTTGAGCAGTTTTTCCACTACTTTGGCTGTTTGGTACTTTTGAGTCTTGTATTGCATAGTTGTAGTATAAGTCCTTTCACTAGCTCGGTGTTTTAAGGCTTTAACCACCATTGGTTTGAGTTGATTGCATGTTTTAGTGCTTTTTCTCACCAAATTTCAGCACTTATAATCTCTGCAATCTCCCTCATTTCTTCACTTTTTCATTTTCTTTGAGGGTTGTTTCAACCTTAGGGTTGTTTAAGCTTGAGATTGTGGCTCATGCTTAATGGCTTAATCCTCCTTAGAGGGTTCATTACCAATGGCATGAAGCTTCTCTCGTGCCTTAAACCATACCTTGGTTGACACTTCTTTCATCTTAGAAGACACTCACCAATGGACAAATTGATTGATGAATGATTTGGTAACTAAAATGTGTAAAAAAAATTGGCAAGTAAAAGTGACAAGATAAGCATTCCTTTGTGTTGCATTACATGTGTTCAAATCAGACGTTAATTTGAACACAAGGAAAATGGGACATTTCATACTCAAAAGTGATGAAATGTGCCATTTTCCTAGGTCTCCATTGCCCTTAATCATGCATGATAGGGTGATGGCCATTTTGGTCTTATTTTACATTTATTAAACTTGCACAATTAGTTTCATAAGCCATCATGTAATAAAATTGCTTGATTGATGGTTTATAAACCAAAATTTGTCCCTCCTTTGATTTCCCCATGAAAAGGAGAGGCAAAGTGTGCAAACAACCCTTGAGGTATACACTGTTTTGCTCTGTTTGCTCTCTGTTGCAGCAAAGAAGTTCAGGTTATCAATGGCCGACAGCCACCACCAGTAGCCGACCGGCCACCATTAGTAGCCGACTGACCCCTTGTCAGACATTAGTGAAATTTGCACAGTGTGTTGGTAAGACGGAGCAGAGGTGTTCTGGAAGTGGGCAGAATTGTTAGTGTTCCATGTGCAAACAGAGGCATTCAGCAGCAAGGCAGTGGCTTTTCGGGTGGAAATCGAGCATGCATGGGCCTCCCTTGCTTCCTAGGATTGGCTAATTAGTTTAATTAGCAATAGATCAACTATGTGTTGTAATTAATTAGTTGTAGCTAATTAAGTGTTGGAAATAATTAGTTAGTTTAACTAGTTATTCAATTTCGTTTTGTAATTAGTTAACTAGAATAGTTAATTAATTCGGTTTGTAATAATTAGTTAGCTAGTATAGCTAGTTAATTAGATTCGAGTTTTGTAATAATTAGTTAGCTTAGTTAGCCTAGTTCGCTAGTTAGCTTTTATTCATTTGGACCCTCCTTCGCAAGGGCGTAATGTTGTAATAAGTGTGCGTGCGTGTGTGTATGTCTGCCAACCCCACATCTTTCTCCCTTTTATTTAATCACTTTTGATGGTTAGATTAGGGACATTTTTCAAACTAGCATACCTTATGCTTACATCCATTCATTTGTATTGCATGCACCGAGGCTTGGTGCATCATTTAAACTGCATTGTTATTTCAAATAATTCTTTGAATACGTGTTTAACCGCATGTTATCAAATCGATTCATATGCCATGCTTAGTAGTCAGGCCTATTAATTGCATTATCGTATGTGTTACATTAAGCATCTTGTATAGTTAGGAATCATGTATATTTTTCTAACTCATATATTTCTTAGCTTGGAGTACTAGTTGAGTTTTTACGCTTTAGCATACTTGCATGAATGCGAATGTTGCCATAAGGCTAAATGCTTATTTGATTAACTTCTTGAAATGCCTGTGGATGACGGCTTGTTGTTTGAATTGGAACGATTCAACGAATGTGCATTTTAAACCCACTTTGTTGAGCGGCAAATCATGTTTTAAGCCCACCATGTTTGGTGGCAAATTCGCAAACTTTAAGCCCACTTGAGGTGGCAAATTCAAACCATTTTCGCAAACAAACATGAGTTGAATTGTTCCAAATTAAGCAAACTCGCCTATACTTGCTTGTGCACATCATGTAATAAAGGTAGCTTAATAACCGGAACCAGGGCACATAATGTACATAAAAATCATATCATGATTAGTAGAGGCCGATCTTTGATCGGGCGAGCGGGGGTGCTCAATTCATAACCTTCCCCTCTCGTACTTAAGTTCCCGAGCCGAAGCAACTTTGGTGATGACAGACATGCGGCCTTTGGCATGAGTCATGCGTTTCCTAATTTTCTCCAAAAATAAAATATTTAGGTGGCGACTCTATATCTGGCAAAGCAGTCCAATTTTGGCGCTTTTTTATTCAAAATC